AAATTTGACGCAGTATTCCAGATGTAGTTCGACAACTGCTGAAGATGGGGGAAGATCACTTCCCTGGGTCTGCTGGCTACACTCACTAACACAGCCCGGGATAAGATAAGTCCCCTTTGCCACAAGGACATGCTGCTCCTTGTGTTTGATTTGTTATCTAACAGGACTCCCAAACCTTATAATGCAGACCATCTTCCCAGACTCTTGGCTGAAGACCATCAGTGAAATTTTTAACATTTCTGCAAACTTTGTTCACTTTGTACTGTCCAAGCTATGAACAAATAAGCCCAAATTCTTCTCTCATTTATAGCAGTCTAAGCTTGAAGCTCATGAATTTGACACATTTACATTCTGTAACACTATTCTCCATGTAAGAGTGTGTGTGTGTATGTATATGCATACACACCCACATGGATGGCTCAACAGCTGAAACAGAAACACTGCAAGATTTTGAAGAGCAACTAGCTGTGCAGTTGGGACCAAGGTATACACTCGAAGCCTAAGGTGGTAAGAGGAACTTCCGCTTTGGTCTTCCCTGACTTGAGGCTTCTGCATTGCATATTAAATAGGTAGCAACATTTAAAGTCTCTTAGCTTTATAAATAATAGGAAATATCTTTGGAAGACTTTAAAACATGCCTTTAATTAAGGATATTACCATCATATCAACAAGTCAAGGATTCCTGATGATGACGATATATAGATAACTTCATCTGGAGGTTATGTCATGAAGAATCTAACTCATTTGTGTCTACATGGAATGAGTCACCACCCATACTCACATGAAAAAACTCTCTCAGAGACCTTATAAATTGAGAATGATAAATAGCATACAAAGATTAAGGAAGACAAACTATTTGGTCAAAGGAAACAACGTGTATCATATACAATGCAAAATACCATCTGACTTGCACTAGCTTTTCCACATGCAATAGCTAGCTGGCCAATTCCTTGCAGCCATTTGTCACCACAGAAGTAGATCATCAGGAAAGACATAAATATTTCAACAAGTTCCTAAGCAACTGAAAAACAGTGCTTTGTGAGGGATATATTAAGTCAGTGTTTAATTCTAGCCTTTACTAGGAAATAAGGTGAAGTTTTTGTGGGTTTTGTTTCTTGTTGTTTTGTTTTTTTTCCCCAAGCCAATTGTTAGGTTACACTCAACATCTCCATATGAACAACACAGTTACAGTTCTTGTGTGTATTACCTGCTGAGGTAAACATCTCCAATTGTCCTAGTCACCCGAACATTTTACAGTGTACTGGCTAAATTGAGGGGAAAGGGCTTTTCCTTCACATGAATGGTTTGCCAGCACCACGTGTCCCACCTGTGGGGAAGGAGAATCTGCTGTGCCTTTAGAAAGTGACAGAAACTTACCCCAAACATCTGCCGAAGGTCAGGATCTCGAAAGCGGAAGGGAATGTTAGACACATGAAGTCGTTTTGGAGTGGATTTGCTCTCGGTATTCTCGCTGCTCTGTGTCTGTGATTGCTGTCCATCTGTCTGTGCCCCTCCTTCTGTCTGCTGAAACCAGAAAGACAAAAGCATGTGCATGAATAGAAACTACAAAAATTCCTTTCACATGCCTTGTCTGTCTTTTTAGGTATTAGTACTACACTTGTGATTGCAGTATCTGAGTACTTGATACATGATTTTCATAAAGCCAGTAATGCTTAACAGTGGATTGGTTGTTCTTTCCCT